GTGGGATCGGATAGCGATCAGGCGTGGTAACCGTATTCAAGGTTCGATAGTCGCCGCAAGGACGCCAGTCCCCCATGACCTTCTTCGGGACCATGTGGAGAGGCGACGCCCATGGGCTGTTGGACGGTCTGACGATACCGAGCTGAAGCATGTGGTCGAATTCAGCTCGTGCTGCACGTAGTTTGTCAGGAGCAAGCCGTCTTGGTCGTGCGCTAACTGGTTGACCACGCGTGACTATGTGATGAGCGACCTCTGTCGTGACTGGCGGAAGCTCTGCAGCTGGTCGTACCAGTCGCGGGTATTCAGACAGTAGGTTCGCATAATCTGATGGTACATCGGCGATTCGAAAAACGGGACTGATTATCGAGGCGTCCGTAAGAACGCCTTCGACCCCTAGTTTAGTACGGTCGTCTAAAAGTCTGTGGCGACCAGCATCAACAAGCAACCCAAAATGTCGGAGGAAGTCGATACCGATAATTGCGAAGGGTACAGACGCAACCATGAAGACCCACTGAAAATCTCGGCGAAGATTGAGGTCCAGGTTCATCATGCGCTGACCGAATGAAGCTATCGGAGAACCGTTGGCCGCACGCAAATTGTACGTAGGCTCTGAGTGCTTGTCGTTAGCGGTCGCTGGGATGACGCTGACTTCCGCTCCCGTGTCGATGAGGAACGTGATGGAAGAACGTCGATCCTTAACGTAAAACAGGCGATTTGTTTGGTTATTGACGGATACGTTGGTCGTGCTAGTATGCGGGCTATTCGCTTTCCCTGAAGCGGCTGAGTCGTGCCTAATGCAGGGAGCCCGACAACGTCTAGCTCTTCCACCATATTGGCGGTGATACCAACATACTTCTTCGACGGGTTTGGTATTATCTGACTGAGAACGTGCAGGGAAAATGTTGCGCTTTCGTGTCGAACGAGACGTACTCGGTGCAGGCACAGACGAGCCGCAATGAACGGTAGTCAAAACGTGGTCAGCATCTGACCGTGGCACACGCTGCTTCGAAGCCTTCATTGCTGCTATCCTGCTGCGAAGTAGCGCAATTTCCTCGTCTTTAGGGTCAGATCGGCCTGACGATTTGGAGCAAATATGAGATTCGGTTTTCATCGGTGAGAATACGTCACCGGAGCTACTGGTCGTCTGCTGCGGAAGACGTTCGAACGCAGCGTCTGCCTTGGTAGCTAGTTCTTTCAGGGGTATATCTAGAAACATGGACAGCATTACCGGCATTAGCGCTGCGAAACGTGCAAAGCACAGCTCCTTTATCCCTTATTTGCTCGAGAACAAGGCATCAGCGATGCGCTGTAGTTCGCGGATCAACGCCGACGGCTTGTGATCTCCCAGCTTGAGACCATTGAGCTGTTCAAATCGATCTCGTGTGTTGGGCTGTAAACCTTTTAGAATCGGTGGCTTCATCGTTTCACACTTTGCCTCATTCGATGGGCAGAGTAGAATGTCTTCAACCAGCGTCCCAACCGAAGAAAATGGCGTGGAATGAGCTGATTGTTCCTCGGACGGTCCGTCGTAATGCCCTTAATTTCCAGTGCGATCTTGAATATTTTAAACCAAACCCCTGGGCTGTGTTCCATGAAACTTGGAACAGCCAAAGTAACCATGTTTACGCTGCGCAACAACTCAGATGCTACTTCCGAAATGTGAATCAAAAAGATAAAGGATGAACAAACACACGATGAAAGTACTAAAATTACGCAAGAAACAAATGAATACAGGTATATAATCGAGAAAATGGAACGAACTCACCAAAAGCTACAAACGAGAAAAAAAAGTTGAATTCGCGCTTGCGATTCGGGGTCACCAATTTGTAGGACTAGTAAATACTAGTCCGAGACGGTGCGCGAAAGTAAGCGCGGATATCAGAAGGCAATTGGAGTCGGACACAGTGGACTGTATTCGATGGGCTACAAGAAGACGCGGACGGATGAAGCAAGACAGAAGGTACACGTTAGCGTGGGAACTTACAAGGCGGTCGAGTGTCGAATTGCTTGTAAGGAAGATTAAAACAAGGAAGAATAATGTACAATTTGTCAACAATTAAATAATACGTAAAAGATAGCAGTTATCTTTTTGGGCTCTACAAGTGACAGTTGCGGGTTAGTTGACAGAAGCCACTAGCAGTCCTGGGTTCGATCGCCGGAGGAGGGCTGATGAATGCGCATCACTGAAGAGCCACAATAAGCAAAACGGCTGTCTGGTGCTTTTCCGGATTGGTAGTTGAGTTATCTGAATTGTCGGCTGATTGCGACGAACTCAAACTACCGGCCCACTCTCTCAACATGCATAGCAACAATATTCCTGCTTGTTAATTGGGAACAATGCGTATCAGACTTACGCATTTGGTTGGCGGCCTTCGGTCCCGGATTTGCCTATCACTGCAGCCTCCATCGGACAGCCACAGGACTCCTGCGGCTACAGAGGTACCATGGGTGGCGTGCGCTGCACAGCCCCAACCACACACCCCATATTCAGTGTAAACCCGAAGGAATAAGACCATGAGGTATTTGAATGAGAGCCACATTTCATCAACGAAGTGGGTTCACACTCCTTTATCATACACGGCGGCAGCATTACTGTTTGTTTAAATTGGGAATCATGCATCCAAGACGGATACAGGTGCATGGAACCACTCTCTGAGCCTAGCACAGCCACGAGGACCGTACATCCTGTGCCCGAGTAAAGATTCACCGTCTCCTAGAGCCAGCAATTGAGGTGGAGGGTAATAGACAGGCGGGCATCTTGTCATACTTCACCTAAGCGCACTTACACCGGAGATATCAATCGATAACCAACATCTACAGTGTAAGAAACCCAACACAAACACACACAAACCAGCCACAACGATGATGTAGCATATATGCCCCACCGACTGCATTATTGACTTTTGTAAGTAAATTGAATCGGAAGCAGCGTAACTACCATGCGCTGCGCTGATAATTATTACCTATCCAGATAACTCGTCTTTTAGCTGTTCGTCCCACCTGACTACGCTGGTGACTTGCCAAACCGGTATGGCTGAGGCGCTCACGACCGCATTTGCTACTGCACCATGCGGTCGACGTAATGAGCTAGGCTCCATTAGCGCGTCGTTTTTTCAACCGACGTCTCAATTCCGTATGCATTATTGATTTCTCATGCACCTGGGCAACCGCCTTCTTGCTAAGCTCTCGCCATCTGCGCCGATCAACTGCGTTTGATTCTCGAAATCTGAAATCAACATTACTTCGTGTTAAACTCGCCTTGACCATGTTCTGGTAACGAAGTTTTGGTCTTCCCACGCTCCACTTCCCTTCACTAAGTTGTCCAAATAGTAGATGTTTCGCTATTCATGTATGATATGCACCAGCCAGCTCAGGTGCCTCAGCAGAAGTATACAATCCACTGCATACTTGCCACTGCGGCGCAGCACTTCCATGTCTACAACTCGGTCACACCAGCCGATGCTCTGAATTCTACATATGCACTGTTGATGGAAGCGTTTCAGGTGACAGTCCTCACCGTACAGTATCCACGTTTCTCTGGCGTATAGAAGCACGGACAGAACCATTGACCGGTATACATTCAGCTCCCTCCTTACGGTAAGCTGGCAATTCCTCCACTCCCGATATCACAGCTAGCCTAATGCAACAGTCGCTTTTGATACCCGCATGCGCAACTCACTCGTCATCTGCAACTCGGTTGATATTACACTCTTCGGGTAACCGAATTTCGATGCTGTCTTCGATACAACAACAGCCACCTGGATTTGTGTCAGGCACATGGACTCCATTCCTGGTGAAGGCTGAAAATTACGGTCTTGCTTGTGCTGATGGTGAGCCCGAACATGGCCGCTGTCGAAGTCAGAGCCGTAGTTATGCGCTGCAACTCATCCGCGCTCTATGAAAACAACACACAATCATCGACAAACTGCAACATACGGATGATGGTCTCATAGACTAGCGTTCTCGCCCCGAAACAACGAATGTTCAACAACCCACCATCAATATGGTGCCCACACGAAGACCATAACCATACGCCGCATCAAAAGCACCATACATCATTGCATTAAAGTAAATGTTAAACAGCAGGGGCTAAGACACAGCTTTGCTCTACACACACAGTCATGTATGAAAAAGTGGCGACAGCAACACGCCAGTGCGCCACGGCGACACTTCGCTGCCACGCGGCGACCACCGGTCGGCTACGGCCTATGGATACTGTGAAGTTGTCTGAACTTACGCAGATTTGAACTGGTGGCCCTTGGGTTACAAAGCAAATCCTCTTTTTATCCGGTCATGGCGAGCAGTCAAATACCGGCTATTAACAACTGTAAAGATGATCACTATCCGGTTCTACAACTTGGATTCACTTAAACAAGAAGCGCGTATTCAAGACCCCTTTTTTATCCATGCCTCAAGCCGTCTCCTCTAGTGACAACAATTATGCCACCTCTCGCAACTTTGCCTTGACTGACCCGGTGTCTGTCCTAGTCTTACTGGTGAGACAGTTCGCTCTATCGGTTCATTGCATTTAGAAATTATGCATTAGTTTTGGTCCTATCTATCGTGATGTTATAGTCTGATGTAGAACCACCCGCTAGGATGACCTTTGATTCCGTTATAATCCTCATCAGTGGCGTCGTTCAGTTGTATGATAGCATAGAATCAGTGCAGATTACGGCTTCATTTCCGTCGTTGGTGTCGTTACATATCACCTGCATTAGTGGGGCCTTGTGGGCGCCGATCATTCCACCCGGCACTGTGCACATTCTGGTTCATTGTCGCTGTTTCGTATACCCCTAGTCTCAGCTGCTTGTTTTCGCTTGAGCTGCTTCGTACTTTTCTTTTCCTCCCTTTGATTCTTCAACGCCTCATGTTTTGGATCGCGATGATACTTCTGCGTTTGTTAGTGTTGCCGTCGTTGTTCACTACTTCTGTTACTCGGTGATTGCGCACAACTATTCTTTACATTTCTGCTTCTTTATTTCTATTTACTTTTTTTAGATGGCTGACGTGGCTGAACCAACAGAAATACTAACAGAAACCGATCACTCTCTCGTTTCTGCAAATTGTGATTTGGAACAGTTACTATTTTCTTCCCAAGTGGTTGCTAATGACCGGTATGTTTTGGTGCCATATATATCCTACTATATCACTGAACTTCGCTCTATCTCTTTGCCGGTCCCCTGGCTTTAGGAATCACAAGCCTGCGTTATAATCTCAGGTCTCTGGATTTGAGCCTCCGTACGTGACCGCGCGATGCTCGCAGTAACCTTAGTCCACGCGCAACCTATGGTGTTCGCGTGTCAGCGAAGTCCGTGTACTGCTTACCTTTGTTCTGCTGATGCCTTTTTGCGATCCTCGGAATTTCATGCCCCTCAAGCTATGCATACCAGACGTGCATGACGCATTGCTTGGGCCGCTACCCATTCCCTAGTAGATCCACGCTTCGGGTCTGCTATCGCCATGACATTTGCATCCCGTCATCCTGAGCGGCGATTAGTTATCTTCTGGAACAAGTAATCAAGGTAGCGGCATTCTACTGGTAGGTCCCGTGCTAGCATTCGCATCAAGTGAAACTAACCCTGGTATACCAAGCTGGAGTAAACATGTCAATGCGGAGACACGCTCACTTCACACGTGTAGGATAGTTGCAGCAACGACCCGTCAGGTGCTTTATCAGCTGCTTGTTGTTACGAATTAGCAGATCAACCCTAGCAAACGCTTGCGTACTAGACTCACCCGTTGCCTTTTTATGATCGAAAGGATACCAGGAAGTCGCGGCCTCGAGCCTGAAACTCCCAGCTCACGCGCGACTGGTGATGCTTGCGTGGCAGCGAAGCGTTGGCACAACATACTACTGATGACTTTTAGACTTTACTTGACTCTCTTGATCACTTGGCAGCCGTGCTCGCCTTGAACGCACAGCCGCATGTATTGCATCATCATTTGGATGAGGTTGACAGGTTGGTGCTTATCTCCATCCGCCATTTTTGTGTCTGGCGCTCTTAGTCCCGATGCATTTGTCCTTCTTGTACATCAATACTGCGGTACTCATGTTGAGTAATCACACCGTTGTCTGCTATTTAAGACATTTTCTCACAAAACTATTTCCTGACAGCAAGACCGTCAAATCCTGGTAGCCCAGCTGCACTTGGTTGACTGGATAACATGAGTTCGGTGCTTTGGTCACATCCATTTGGTGGGCACGACATACCGTTTGAAGTGTGGCACTAGCAATATGCAGTCTGTTCTGTAAATACCACTTGCTAATCTTCTCACTTGTAGCCGCTCGGTTCCACCAGTTAAATCGCCAACTACACCGAGTGTACTACTGATTCAAGCATTCCAGCTAGCAGCTCACATCGTTGTGTGATATATATATATATATATATATATATATATATATATATATATATATAACCTTTGCCCAATAAACATTTGGCAGAGCGCCACAACACATAAGTAACAACAACAGACCGGAGGAAGAGTGTCAGAGGAAGAGATGCGAAGATCCATGTGTTGTGTGGGCAGAGAGTTTCCTGGTTGCCCAGGCCGAGGAAGTGGGTTGACTTAAGGGACCCCACCCCGAGCCTTTGGTCTTAAAGACCTGACCCGCAAGGCAGCGGGGTGAATACGAAGACCGTTTACAGTCTGGTGGCTCATTCACCCTCTTTGTGTTCGGTTGCAGTCCACAGAGAAGCCGGTGGCCAGCAAGGTTGTTCATCCGCCCTCCAGTTATAGAAGTTGGTGGTCAGTGACCCTATAGCCGGTCACATTGACTTTGACACAGCGCCGTACGAGCTCTTGTGGTATTTGATGTAGAACCAGGTGAGCAGCCCCAAACCCGTCACGCTCTGAGACGCTGCCGCTGATTGTCCGCGACTGCTTATTCATCTCGCCTGCATAGCAGACTAGATTTATTTTAGGTTACTTCCACAAAAAAGGCATTCCCCAATCCTCAACCTGGGGATGCACTGGATAGCGTACAGCTCCGCCACGGCATTCTTACGTGGTGCCCATATTTCGACTAGTCTTCTAATATCGTGTATTCGTCGCGGCCCCTCACCTCTGGTCCAGAAAGTAGAACTAACCACGTTGTACGCCCACAATTTCTCCATCAACTGATATCACACCGCCTTCGTAAGTTACACGGGTTTATCGATGAGTTGCTTCCCTCTACCAAAATCTACTACCGAACTGTATCGTTCTTCCACAAAACTGGTACTAGCAATCTTCTCTGTTCCTTTCGTGTTACTCTTCATTGCTGTGTGTAAAAATAAAAATTGCCCATGACTTCCTTACATGTGTCCGCCCTGTGCTTCTATCGTTCGTTAAACTGATGGCGCTTCTCCACATCGAATATTTCGGTACCACATCTGTTGACAACCATGTCTTGCACTTGGATTTACCTCTGCTGTATCTTCGAAACATGCGTGCAACTATCCGACGCGCACTCCGATGACGATGGCTGTATTCTCGATACATCTGCTGATGACGAATTCCTGACTCAGAGCAGTTGTGGTGTTACTGTTGCGTCTGGCAAAAATGTTGCAGCCAGCTTGCTCAATTCGGTCCTGGTGAATGGCCACTCGCGTGCAACCCGACTACATTTCTTTCAGAGTTAGTACGCAGAATCAGAGGCTGAGTTGTCCCTTCACTATCAATGCAGCCTCCTACTAGATGTTGCTTCAAAGCCAGCAAAGATAATGACTAATACGGCTATCTTAACCGCAGCAACCAGCATGAATACATTAATTGGCAGCATTTGGTGAACTAACGGCATCTGAGTGACCGTCTCACAGTCAATGCTCGTCGTACTAATTATTGCTTCGGTAACTGTGTCGACTACAACCCTTACCTCAGTGGTACTGCTTGCTAGCAATCAGTCAACAGGCATGGACCAGACAGACCAATGTCTTTTCGCCCTGTGGCCGGAAGCATAATGCATCTGTTTTATAATGCAAAGGTCACCGGCTCGAATCTGTCCAGCTTCGGGTGACATCTGGATGTACTCAGCGCACGCGCAACTGGTGGTAGATGCGTGACAACGAAGCGTCGGTACGGTATGCCAACGTACTGCCGATGCTTTTCTTTATCTTCTCTGGTTGGACTTACTGGCCATCAACTAGATCTGGCTCACGGTAGTTTTAGATTATCGGATTAGGACTATTTCTTGATATTCACTGGCAATGTTATGGTTTTCTCGACTTCGTCGAGTCCTCTAAGGTCTGCATTCGTTGCTCGTAACTGGAACTCACGCTTCCATGTAACTCAATCCAACCCGAGTTGAAGTGTCAGAGGTCGTTGACGAATGAAATGAGCGACCTAATTGGCGATGCACCATTCAGAAAGCATTTGATACTGGATGTCTATCTAATTCCGTGTGTTCAGCACGCGGGGGGGGGTTGGCACTTTGTTTAACTCATGATAGCATTGAATCAGCACCTAACTAGTGTAACCAGGGGCCATCGGTGGTTTTACAGGAAGGTAAGATTCCTTTGAATGGAAAGACCAATATAACCGAATGTCCGAGCTTTATTACAGCTCGATCGGAGCACGTAACTGCAGCAGTCCCCACTACATGAACTAACAGTCTAGAGGACTGTGCAGTTAGTATATTCGCTGACCCACTGACTTACACTTTTCGTGAAGAGTGTAGGAAGCAGTTAGGTATCGTTTCCCGAATCATCCGGACTCATCTGGACTGTTGTAGTATCGCTTCCTGCCCTTGACGATGTAGGAATGACGCTTATAATGTAGAGGAGGCGGAGACTGTGCTTGCCTTCAGTACTGCGCATATCAGCCAAGCAAGCGCTTGGGGGGACTAGGGTAAGAATTCCTCAGGAAACGAAAACGGAAAGGAAGAGTAACTATTGGAGGCGTACTTGGGTGGACGCCTGGATACATTAGAGTCTCCAACTTTCTTGACGAATAGTAAGTACGCGAGCGCTAAGACTGCAAGAGTCGAGGTGCATGATGATACTCTCACTGACTATTCATTTAGGTTAGCAGTGCTATATGTGATGGCAGTGCGAAAGAAGACGGAACCAACCGTGTGGAGAAAAACGTAGTTGAACTAGCCATTGGCTTTGCGCATAATATCAAAATAAGTCTAGGGATAGAAGGAGCTCAGAGGTTATAGTGGAGGTCAATAAATCGTATCTAAGCTTATGGTGGGTAGAGATGCTTGTACATTAAGGAGACCAAAACATCACGGCGAAGAGTAACTGAGAGAGCCCCGAGGCCGTGAGAGGCCAGGTGCTGGATCAATCATGAGTGCTAAGTTATTTAGGTAGGTAATACTAGGAAGAAATCGGTCATCTGTTTGCGCAAGGAGGAAGAATAAGTATGGGAGTAAACACTGCTAAGAGTACAACGCGCACAGCGAGAGGGAAATCCTAGCGGAGACTAGTGTCTGCGGTGAAGCACATAACGGCCAGGTAACTTATGAGGATAGCGCTGGAATGAGTCAAAGAATGAGGCTGCGATGAAACATTCGACATCCTTGCCGGAAGTGAGTGGAAAGCTGCGAATGTAAGAGAGGCTAACATATCATGGTGAAGAGTAAGTGTGCGAGCACCGAGATTGCAAGAGGTAAATTACTGAATAACACCTTGACCGGCTAGGTATTTTCGTAGGCAAAGCTATTTGTTAAGGCATTGGGAAAGAAGGCGGAATATTCTGAGAAAATGAAGTTATACCTGGGCAATCTACGGAGTTGCGTATAACATCCAGGTAAGTCATGCGAATATAGCTAGAATGAAATGCGTGGTAAAGCGGGTGGAAGATTTATTGTCAAACGCGGTTGGATAAATGCTTGTATGTTTACTGTCCTTCAACATACGCCTGAAGCATAGCAAATGGAGAATTGGCTGTGGGTCATTGCAATTCAGGAGGGTTAACTGGAGCGGCATCGGGTCGGTTTATGAATATTGGTCGTTCGCCACTGCATTGAAGGTATTCCAACCACTAGCTTTCTAACATTGGGCAGCCCGCATCCCAGTCAGGTCCAAAGCAACCGCGCAGTAGAGCCACTAATGGCGGCGTTGATGTTACGTTTGATTAGCCTGTTGTTATCTAGTCTAAACTGCAGATGATAACGGCGAACAGCATGGAATCCCTGCTCTTGTGTATCGGGAATGTTGGCTTCCACTTTCAGAACACAGCCATACCGTGAGATGGAGGGGGTAGTAATGGGTAGCCCGCTAAGCCCTGTACTCGTTTATTTCTTCATGTTGATGTTAAAATAAGGCATATCACCATAAATATTCAAGCTGATACATTATAAGCATTATGTAATTGACATGCTGGTCTTTTGTTCGTCGGAGCAGCGGGTTGTGCAGCTTAACAGTGCACATGCCAACTTACGGGTCACGTGCGAACTGGATCAGAAGAATTGTCTGCCATTTTTGCACATCCTTATCAGTTGCAAGGATGACGGATTTATTAACAGATCTGTGTACAGAAAAGCAACATGGTCCAGCCAATACCTGCATTTCACCTGCTTCACACCAGTGCGGTACAAGCGGACACTTGTGAAAACTTTAGTTAGTCGTACTAGATGAATTTGCTCGGCTGCTTGTTTGGCCGACGAGCTAGAGTTGAGTACAACACTCGCAGATTTATAGAGGAACACAGCCAACAACGGGGCCCGAAGGACTTGGTGCATATGGCAACCAAGGAAAAACTATGTTGTACTGTCTTTCAAGGTTGACTTTACTGTGTCGAAGACCACTAAACGTTACAGTGCTTCGTAGAGAAGCTAAAGTGCTTCCCAAGTTGTGGTCATTAACTGAACTGTTAACTTGCAGGTGCCTTCAACGAAGGAAGCTTGACCAATCGGGGCCAACTCGCACTGCAGATGCCAATGTGTATGTAACTGTGTAGCCAGTTACATAAGCAGAACCGATCGATCTTTGATTTCCCGCAAACGGAATACGTACTGAGGTGAGTTCAGCCTAAAATCGACCGGCACCCCCCCCCGACCGCCAGCTTCCTCAGAAGGTCAACACCTACTGGTCCCCCGTCGCCGGACACAGCTTGGATCAGCGTTCACAATTGTGTTACATCGCCTTAGTCTCTATTTTCTCCATTTCGTCGAGGCTGTCGCAATAGACCGGATGAGTCCGACACTTTGTGTGTTCGAAAACCATTTTTTTGTCAGCTTAAGGCTGCCATGGACATAGGGGTGGAACTTCCATCATTCATTTTGCACAGATTTTTTTGGTCACACCCATGTATAAGCATGTAGTTGCATACCAGTTCTTGTTAAGGGTACTGAGGAGACAATAAAAATGCATGCATCTACAACTTTCGTCTTCTTATCGCGCTTTACAAGTTTGATATTATCAGCAAATAAAAATGTTATGGTTGCATTTCGTTGGCAAACTGATTGGTCCCATGAAACGAAACCTTTCAATCTAAGTGGTGAAGCGGTCGTCATTTACCCTCTATCATTTGACCTAATAGTTTCACTTGCGATACTACCGGGTTATTTGTGGTTTGATTATGTCCTCGTCCAGATGTTTCCATTCAATTGTGCGTACAGCTCGAGAGTGGGAATGCATTTAAGCGGGAGTACTATTAAGTACTCTTAAGACTGAGAACACTAAGTATGTTATTCAACAGCATTGTATAGTAAATCACTCACCGTACTCAACCGTGGATACGATCTGTACCTAATTAGTTTGGAGTTTCCAGACTGTATCGAGGGATGCCAAACTAGCGGTCGCCAATCCTTCTGTACCACCGTTACAGACAGCCCGTAGCACTCGTCCTCTGTGTCAGTCAAGCAGAGCCTATGATCCTGGACTGCTGTTTTCCGTAGTTCAGTTTTTATGGAGAAGCGGGTCACCTATTCCCCTAGCATATGCTTAATAGGATGCTGAGACAAACATTTTCTTCTCTCTAGCATTTACTTCATTCACTCAGCATAGCTAAGTGGATCGCGGGGGCGCGCAAGAATAGCGCCATGTTAATATTGACTATGACTATATCTTTTTCAGTACTTCTATCTCAGCAAAGCCCATTTCCGTATGTTTCTAACAATAACCTCATCTATTTTTTGACAGCGATGTTTCCATTCATTCGCGTTCAACAAAGGCTGCTCGAGTTCAACTTGAGGACTGTGGCTTTTTTGCGGAAGACGATATGTCCAAGGAGACACCTCAGTTCGATAAGGACGAAGAATTCTCTGACGATGAATGCTCATTAGGCGATAAAAAGCGAATCCGACGCCGAAAACCGAAACAGTCGACTCCCTCTTCTAGACAAGCTGTTCAATCTGATGACGTTGTTCTACCCTTACCTCCTGACCAGGAAAAACCACATTGTGATGTATGCGATCGCCTGTTCGAGTACTCCTTCTTACGTCATAACTTCGACGTCGACGTTTGCGATGGCTGTCAGTAAGTATTCTCACAATGTGAGCGAATGAACATCTATCGTCCAATCGCTGTCACCCATTACCAAATGGATTTCATCGTCTTATTCGGATAACTCACGTGATTTGACTGCCATGGTGTGGCTCCGCACCACGTCACTCCGTCCACATCTCAACCGGTAAATCTTTAAAAGTGGATGGAGATCTTGAATGCCTATTCGTAACCCTCCAGTAACTGTTCAACCACTGTGAGAATTGATTAATTCTGTGGTCAGATTTCTCTGCCACTCAACCAGTCAGTCGCAATTCGGTCAATCTATGTACCTATTTCCTTTGTCACGGGAATATCGCGTTTGTGTGCTCAGGGTGCAGTTTGGAAAGATCTGCATCTGGTACACCGAATCGATAAAACCTTAGGGGTTCAGATGCCAGATATCGACCACACCTATTAGGATCAGCAATTTTTTCAACACACTTATTTCGCTTGGTTCGCCTTAGTCGCCACCTAGATATCTGCTCACCCCCATGGTTTAGTATATAGTAGCATATCGGTTGTTAATAGTGGTACTGAAGAGACAATCCGAAATGCATGCATCTACCAGTTTTCGTCTTCATACCGCACTTTTCAGACAATATCAGATTGAAGATGAACCCAAAATAGAAAACTAGAAAAGGCAGAGTAAATTGGAAAGCAGCCAATGATATCGTGCTTTTCTGAATTGTGGGAGCAAATGGAAATTTAAATCTGTACAACCATCGCAATAAAAGTAAAAAGGTTATGAAATATGTCGACTGACCGTGATAATTAAATCGTTCTTTAAGTACTTATGTAGCATTTTAAAATGTCTCACTTACAGTTTCTTTGGGCCCACGAATACTCTTCCACCTAATCTGATCCACTGGCAACAAAAGGCCGACTGTAAGCAAAGTTTTGTGCGAAACCAATGGCGAGCGGATCCACTGCAAACAACGTCGACTTGTGCGTTGGGCTGAGCACTTTGAGCAACAATTAGACTGGCCAGCAGCACTGGTGATCCCTCATTCGGGAATCTGTAGTGATCCTTCGTGTGTAGACGCTTCACCACTTTCTGAGGCTGAGGTTGCTCATGAGCTTTGTCTCCCAAAGCGCTACAAGAGCTCTGGCCCGGATGAACTTCCTCCGGCTCTTTCCAAAGATGGAGGTCCATCACTTGTTCGGAAGCTAACTTCCATCCTCCAAAAGGTTGGGACCACCGAAGCAATCCCATCCAATTGGAGTCCCGTGGAAATGGTGCTTGTCTTCAAAAAGGGTACCCAGAAAGACTGCGCTAACCACAGAGGGATTAGTCTCATCTGCCTTGTATCCAAAGTGCTCGCCGCCATGCTTTTAAGGAGGCTCAGCTTGGCACGCGAACAAAACATACGCGAAAAGCAAGCTGGGTTCCGCTCCGGCCGGAGTTGTATGAATCACATCTTTACACCGCCAAATACTCGAGCGTCGTCAAACGTTTGGTCGGTCAACGATCGATGTCTTTTTACATATTAACCGCGTTTGACTCAGTTGACCGAGATGTCTCTTGAGAAACGGAGTGCCTGAGAAGTAGATCAACATTCTTCGAGCCATCTACTCTTGAATCTCAGGCCGAGTGCGAGTGTACGGCAGACTTTCGCCGCCCTTTAGTATCACTAGTGGCGTGTGAAAATAAATAACAAAAACAGTTCCGTTCTTTTTACGGCACAAAAGCTGAAGTGTGATGATTAAACCTGTATTCTTATTATTTCCATGATTTTGTTTGGGTTTATGTCTATTCGTTAGACTGTTGTCAATGGTTGGCGTAATCCGGTTCCATATTTGGCTGTCACTGTGGCCTCCATAGGACAGCCCCAGGACGCCTGCGCCTACAGAAGGACCATGGTTTGCTTGTGCTGCACAGCTCACAGCTCCATCCACCCACCCCATATTCAGTGTAAACCCGAAGCAATAAGATCGGGAGGCATGGTGATTGGAGCCACGTTTCATCAGCGGAGCTGGCCCACACTCCTTCAACATGCACAGTAGCAGCATTCCTGTTTATCTAAATTGGGAATCATGGATACCAAACATACCCAAGGCGGTGACTGGGCCGTAATCCGCTCGACACTGGATGCTTGGGACCACTATTTGGGCCTAACACAGTCACAAATACAGTTCTCCTCGCCCTCTCCTAACAATGACTTGCTGTCTCCTTGTGCCAATAATCGAGGCCGAAGGTAGGCACCTTGTTAACATTCACATTAAACTCAGCCAGGCAGTGCGTAACTTCTTAGCGCCGGATGTGGCAAAAATGTCTTAAACCGTTTATTTCGCAAATGCAGCCTCCGGTGCACATATATTCTTTGAGTACCCGTGTTGGCATTTTCGGGATGTACATTGGTTTCTGTCTCTATGATGGTTTAGTGTACTTTGTGTTTGATTTGAATTTACAACTACTTGAAGGTAGCGAGCGTTAACGCAGGTTTGACGTGGATTTCGATGCATAGTTTCAAGAGACTTGTACAAAACTGGAGGTAAGTTATGCGGAATCAGAAAATATTTGCCCACTTACTGTTCACTGCCACTACTGATTTACCAACATACCATTACTATGGTATGTGCCTTCTTCGCTACATTTGGCACTATTGGTATCGTATGAAAGATGTTGTGTTTAGGTTCCTTGTCCTATAAATGGGATTCCTGTGCATAGATTTCAATCTTTCAGAGTCTATCAAACCAAATGGTCGCATTCAATGGGAGGTCCAGCGTGAAGCAATATATTCCCAAGAAACCATACAAATGGGGATACAAGGTCTTTGGGCCTTGCAATACACAAAAGGACTTGTGCATTCATTTGATATCTTCACATGGAAAATTGACCTTGTTCTGCGTGTACCTGACATAGGTGCAAGTGAAAACAGTGTTAAACAACTTGCACAAGTTAATCGGGCTAATGTCACCACTTTACTATATTTTGATAACTTTTTTCCTTGCTTTTATTTGTTGCGCTTGCGGAGAAGGGATTACCAGCCCTCGGAACAGTACAGCAAAATCGCCTGCAAGGGTGCGTTTTCAGTGGAGACGCCGACATGAAGAAGAAAGGCAGAGAGATATTTGAAGAACGACAGTTATTGTTGACAATGTAGAAGCAGAGCTGTCAACTGGTTTGACAACCTAGTCTGTAGACATTGGTCACGTTTCTTGCGGGCTGTCGACACCGGCGACTGGAACAACCTTATGAATGACTTTCCTATCGACAAACAAAGTTTTGATATGTATCTCTTTTTGCATCAAAGAAATTCCCCTGTGTTATCGCTGCTTCGGAGACGCGTCTTCTCTTAGCTCATTGCCCATTTTTGATTATTTCGTAACACAACAGGTAGGTTAGTTGAGTCGCAACAGTTACCCTACTTGTCTGGCGTTGTACTCGATGGTGCGCATCTGCATGGGTGTACACACACGCATCACACACGAAGGCCAGTAGAATGACAGGCAGTGACAACTAGGTCACCGACTTTGATCGAGGTCAACTACTTCAACGATTAGATCAACTCATTGCCATGACAAGAAAATGGCTTGCACTAACACCCTCTGCTTACACAACTAGGGTTGCATTGGCGTGATCACATCGTTGTTTGGACATTGTCCAGTTTAAAGTGATAATGGTGTAAAACACGAACGATTAAAACCACTCAAAGCGGCATCTGCGAGGCACAAAAAAGAAGATCCAGTCCTTTCATCTGCATCGTTCGTAACTGCGCTATATCGTAGTTAGTTTGTAAATCATGATGGTGCGCAGCTGTCCCCTATGGCTCAGTGGTATAAGGTGCTGCGTAGCGGCGCAAGCCGATGGTAGCCATGATTTCGGGTCCTGATGGATCCTATGGATATACACTACTGACGAAGCACAATATGCCGAAAATGCAGTATAGTGCTGCTCGGACCCTGTGGATGGTTATCGGATTTAGAGGCCACTACGTTTACGCCATCAACGACCAACATCAAAAATCCCTTACTCATAAGAATCTCAAATCTTCGTCCTGACAGTTTCTAAATTCTTTCGTGTACATAGCTACTATTATGGTAATCGCTTGTTTCAGAGATAACCCTGTCCTCTGCAACGTTCGTAATTTGCATGGCAGTGGAGGATAAGACGCGCTATATCGCAGTTGGTTTGTATATCATGACGGCCCGATACTATCCCCCATGGCTCAGCGGCATAAGCTGCTTTTATACGGTGCAAGCCAAGACCCCCACAAGTTTGTGCTCGAGAGGAATACACCGTAATCATCACAGAGCGGTAGAAAGTGATCTCCTTTATTCGTGCTGCTAGTACCATGGCCATGCAGACCATCGAGCTCCTCGAGTCTATAAACCTGGGCGTTTAAGTCCCCGACGAGAACCGTATGGCTCTCGTGGAGTGGTTTGGAGAGTTGACGGTAGAAATCATGTGTAGCTGAGCCCGGGCTACAATCCGTGCACTAAACGCTATCCCTTCACCGACGTGGCCCACAACTTCATAACTTACGTCTCCCGATAAGTTTAGCCTAAATGTGTTCTGTAAGCGATCTGAGGATTACACAAATTCATGTCCATGTTTGTTGTGTGTGCATGAAACTTTTCAGTTACCCAGGTAGGGAAAGAGTTGACCTAGGGAACCTCACGCGGCGCCTTAGTTCGTAAACACCTTACTCGCAAAACAGCGAAGCGAATAACGTATATCGCGGACCGTCGGAAGCCGGTAACACGGCATTCAAATGACAACTAACTAGGCGCCCGAACAGCCCGAATATAACAAGCAGCACAGGGACCGGAAAATATTTCCTGGCACGTTCAAATTGTCGCTGATTGCGAAACTTATCGACGGCCATGTGGCTCATACGCCTTTTTTGTGTTCGATGACAATCCCCATAGAAGCGGGTGGGCATCGTGGTTGTTCATCCGCCCTCGATTCCGGTTAAGGACTGGTCAATGCCCTCGTAACCGCTCACATTGGCTTCGTCACTGTGCTGTCCAATCTCTTGCGGTATTTA